CCCCAGAGCATTGTGGAATTGCTGGGAGGGAAGTGAGACATGTGGGAGGAGAGACGCACCAGGAGATTTTGGAAAGGAATCAGGGGAACAAGCATACCTTCTAGGCCAGGGCTACTCAACGTTAGACGCCCCGGGGGTCACAATGATACTCACAGCATATGCCAAGAGCCACAACTTAAGTGTGGTTGCATATCTGTGCAAATAGCTTATTTCACACTGACGGGCATGAATACAAATAAGGCAAGACTACACAACACGCAGGCCCCATTTAAATCAGTTCTGCTGATATTAATATACCTTCTAGGCCAGGGCTACTCAACGTTAGACGCCCCGGGGGTCACAATGATACTCACAGCATATGCCAAGAGCCACAACTTAAGTGTGGTTGCATATCTGTGCAAATAGCTTATTTCACACTGACGGGCATGAATACAAATAAGGCAAGACTACACAACACGCAGGCCCCATTTAAATCAGTTCTGCTGATATTAATACAATGCAATAGTTACCTGATTTCCACCCACATGACAGCACTTTTAATGAGCAATGACAGTCCAGGAATTTAAGTATTAAAACACAGATCAACAGAAAACCGTTATGTCGACTCCGTTTTTGTTTTGACTCCCACCTTCAGGCCACATGTTGAGCCCCACGTAAACCCAAACTGTACCCTGGGCCACACACAAGTGGGCCGTGTGTTGAGTAGCCCCGTTCTAGGCTAAAGTGCTGGGTTGCCCCCATTATGGTTTCATGGCCTGTTTTTTCTCAGTAGTGTTGAAGGCGTCTTAAACCTCGTGCTCTTTTGTTGTTAGATCCCCCGCCGTCAGTCCCAGGGTGCTGGGCTCAGACTGCCCAAGTGGGGATGATGCTGCAGTTGGTTTGTAGCTGGCCCGGGGGATACCCACACCCCATCCTCCAGTGGACAGAAGAGGAGCAAGACCTGGAGAATTCAAGCTGGGTCGTTAATGCAACAGGCACTGGGGACACCCATGTGGAGACGCTGAACAGCTCTCGCCTTTTTCACGGGAAGGAGTTCAAGTGTGTCGGGAGCCACATCTTAGGGCAGGGGACAGAGGAGCTGACCTGCACTGTGCAGATAAGTGCGTCTGTTCACAGACCTGGGCATGTGGGGAGCCAGGCTGCTGACTTGGCTCCGTTGAGAGCCCCGGACATGGGTCTGAGGCCAGCGAGTCATCCAGGGAGTGGGGTTCTCTCCTGTCCAGCACTTCCTGTCATCATTCTGGCTGTGCAAAGTGCAGGGGGAGGGCACGCTAGACAGCCAAGGTGGGAGCATCTGAGGTGAAAGTAACGTACTTTGCAGGGCCCAAGGCAGATGGGATCAGAGTCCGTAGCTCAGAGCCTGCCCCGGACATGGGTCTGAGGCCAGCGAGTCATCCAGGGAGTGGGGTTCTCTCCTGTCCAGCACTTCCTGTCATCATTCTGGCTGTGCAAAGTGCAGGGGGAGGGCACGCTAGACAGCCAAGGTGGGAGCATCTGAGGTGAAAGTAACGTACTTTGCAGGGCCCAAGGCAGATGGGATCAGAGTCCGTAGCTCAGAGCCTCTGCCTGGGTGTCGCTTGAGATGGTCCACAAGCACACAGCCACCCCACAGTAAAGGGCTCTGCCCATTAGGCCATGCTGCCTCGCAAAGGAAAGAGGCCAGTTCTGTTTCAGCAAAGCTGAACTTTGAAGCTGGGCAAGTGCTTACGTGCTTTGAATCAGCCCCAAGAGACTTGCCTAAGGTCAAAAAAGGCAGCCGAGCAGAGCTGGGAACCGAATGCAGATCTCCTGGGACCTAGGCTCATGCCTCCTCTAATTATTTGGCTGGGCAGTGGCTTCCTGTCAGTCATAGATCCAAGTCTTGTACATAGGCCTCTATGGAGAGATTACTTGAAAGTTGCTATAGGAGCATGGGATCTTTGTACTGTAGGGCTACGTCTAGACTGGCATGATTTTCCAGAAATGCTTTTAATGGAAAAGTTTTCCGTTAAAAGCATTTTCGGAACAGAGCGCCTAGATTGGCACAGATGCTTTTCTGCAAAAGCACTTTTTGTGGAAAAGTGTCTGTGGCCAATCTAGACACGCTTTTGCGCAAAAAAGCCCCGATCACCATTTTCGCAATCGGGGCTTTTTTGCGGAAAACAAATCTGAGCTGTCTACACTGGCCCTTTTGCGCAAAAGTTTTGCACAAAAGGGACTTTTGCCCGAACGGGAGCAGCATAGTATTTCCACAAAAAGCACTGATTTCGTACAGTAGGAAGTCAGTGCTTTTGCGGAAATTCAAGCGGCCAGTGTAGACAGCTGGCAAGTTTTTCCAGA